GAGAGAGAGAGGACACACTACAGGAGAGAGGAGACACAAAGTTAGTAATGTGTAATGGTGGCATATAGAAGCATAGGGAGAGAGAAGAGAGGAGAGGAGAGGAGAGGAGATCAGAGCAGAGTAGGAGGGGAGGGGAGGGGAAAGAAACTCAGAGCATCATGGGGCCCCCAGCAGCCTAGGCCTATAGCAGCATAACTAAGGGAAGGCTCAGCCCTAACTATAAGCTTTATCAAAAAGGAACGTCTTAAGTCTAATCTTAAAGGTAGAGAGGGTGTCCGTCTCCCGAACTGAGACTGGGAGTTGGTTCTATAGGAGAGGAGCTTGATAGCTAAAGGCTCTGCCTCCCATTCTGCTTCTGTGGACTCTAGGAACCACTAGTAAACCTGCACTCTGAGAGCGAAGTGCTCTGTTAGGATGATAAGGCTCTATGATGTCTTTAAGATATGATGGAGCCTTGTTATTAAGGGCTTTGTATGTTAGGAGAAGGATTTTGAATTCTATTCTGAATTTTACAGGGAGCCAGTGGGGAGAAGCTAATATGGGAGAGATATGATCTCTCTTGCTAGTTCCTGTCAGTACTCTGGCTGCAGCATTTTGGATTAACTGGAGGCTTTTTAGGGAATTATTGGGACATCCTGATAGTAAAGAGTTACAGTAGTCCAGCCTGGAAGTAACAAATGCATGGACCAGTTTTTCAGCATCACTTTTTCAGCTCCTGATTTTGGTGATGTTGCGCAGGTGAAAAAAGGCAGATCTAGAAACTTGGTTTATGTGTGATTTAAAGGACATATCCTGTTAAAAAATGACTCAGAGGTTCCTCACAGGAGGACTGGACACCAGGGCTATGCCATCTAGAGTAACTATATGGTTAAGTAGCATATTTCTAAGGTTTTCATCCAGGCCTTTATGTCTTTAACACATGCTTGGAGTTTGACCAATTGATCTGATTCATCTGGGTTCATAGATAAATGTAACTGAGTATTATCTGTGTAGCAATGAAAATGTATGCCGTGTTTCCCAATAATGTTGCCTGGGATGCATGTACAAAGTGAAGAAAACTAGACTTAGCACATAACCCTGTGGAACTACTTGGCTAACTTTAGTCTGCATAGAACACTGAGCACTAAGATTTAGGAAGACAAATATAGACCACACCTTCAAACAAATATAGGTGGTGTTTCACGGTGGTGGCCTTCAAAGGACTGAAACACCACTGAGGGGGATAAATATCTCCGGCTCAACACCAGTTGGTCAGAACTGATGAAGCCTCTTGGATGAGAGGTGAAATGTCTTCGACCTAGAAATCTAAGTCCAGTTGAATTTTTCTAAGTTTTTTCAGCATAGAAGCTGAGGTATTTCATGGGCCAAATATAAACATTGACCTTCTGGTGGTGCCAAAAGTCAAAGGATCATCAAAACAGTTTATCCTCTGGGGATCATAAATTGTTGTATCCTGCACTCCATTCAGTGTTGTTCAAATATTTCAGTAAAAGCAACAGAATGACTGACTGGCCAACCTCACAGTCCCTGGAGCCACATCACTGGCATGACCATAAATGGCCTGAATGCAAAATCACTCAAAAGCTCTCTCATTGCAGGTGATTCAGTTCAGTTCAGTTCATGTGTCCATGCAAGTAGCTACTAAAACATAAAAGCTCTCTCATTGCAGGTGATTCAGTTCAGTTCAGTTCATGTGTCCATGCAGGTAGCTACTAAAACATGCTCTCAGACTTTGGTATAAATTACACTTTCAATAAATTCCATATTTCGATGTAAAAGATGGATGACTTGGATGATAAAAATTGATATTTAAGTGTTTTATAGAGCACTTTCATCACCAAAACTGCTTTTAGCTAATCAAAACAGAGCTGTTATTCTTAGTTCCTGAATAGATGACATTTTTGTGTTTGCAAAATGAAATACTATTCATCGTGACATTGTCTTATCGGGATTTATGAGCAGTCTCATTATGGTACTGAAGCAAACGCACAGACACTGTGCACACACGAACAGATTTACATTATTTTGATTTCCCTGTTGGGAAGATCATTTTACTCTCTGTTCTTCATTTTTGCTTGATGACTCTGATGCATCTTCATAATTACCATCCATTAAAAGATCTAGGTTGCTGACTGACTGCATGTTGGTTGACTCACACTCCTGTATCAGCATCTCACTGAACCCTAGAGGCTGCTCATGAGGAGTCAGAGTTATGTTCCAGCTTATGTATTAAAGGCAGCCATTTATACTGCAATTACCAACAAAGAATAATTCTCACATTAATTCTGAGCAGTTGTTTTAGCTACAGTGAATTGCAGCATCTGAATGGCATCATGTTTCATTCTGTTTAGATTTTGAAGACAATTGCTTCATGGCAGAAAACAGGCAGATGTCCTTGACCTTATAAAGAGCCAAGAGGTTCTGCTAGAGACAGATGGTAAAAACATGTGAACATTTTTATCCCTTTCAGAAGCAAAGATCATCTTTATGACTGAGGTTTATGAGAAAGCTGCTCTTAGTTTTCAGACACAGTGGCAATAAAACACCACTGCTGACTGGTATAAAAGAGTGTCAGATGTATAATAACGCCAAAGTATCACATTTATAGTGACCGAGACACTATGTGATTATACACTATCACAGATTATTTTAAAATGTTTTTTTTGAATAATAATAATAAGAAGCTTTATTTTATTGTCATTGTAACATTGTGACACGTAGAACGAATTTCTTTTTTGGAGCCGAGGGCCCCGGGTCGCTGCGTGCATACGCACCGCCATCATGGGCAACTTGGGGGGTTCAGTGTCTCGCCCAAGGACACTTTGAATAAGTAAGGAAGGTTTGAAATGTATGAAACACCAAGAGACCAGCTCTGTGTAGAGTTGTCAGGTTGGCAGTAAATGATTTTGATGGATTTTTAGGGTTAAACTCTCTATTCTCCACAGCTTGTTCCAGTCACTTCACATACATACATACTGTATGTGCACTATGCATCAGTCTCTGCATATTTATAGTAGCATTATCTTACCTGCATTTGTGTGAGCTATGACTGACTGGAAACCAAAGAGCCAGATTTTTATTGCATGTACAGTAACTAGACTGTTAAATGACCTTACTGTATATGGTCTGAACAAATACATTTAAAAATGTCTTTACAGTCCTTCTGTGCACTTTGTTGCACTGTGGATGTTAAATCATGTTGATGTAATGTTACGTGGTTTGTTATATTGTAAGATAAAGTTAATAATTTTTAGTCTCCCTAAGGTAAAATTTTCACCTTTATGCTCTTTAAAAACAAAAGGAGAAACTATATAAACTGTCTTTGGAGGGTGATGAGTCATATCATCTTCATCCACATCAAACCATTCAGAGAACTTTCATAACCTTTATAAGCAAATGCTTTTTTTATTGTTCTACACATTTATTATTGTTTACGGTCACAGAATGTCTATTTAAAAAAGAAAAAGAAAAAACATTTCATTTAAAAAGTATTACCACGGTAAAAGTACTGATATATTAATATATGACATTATTCAGTGATTGACTGATGCTCAAATCAACATTTGAACTGTAGTGAAGGTGAAGCTAGTTTCAGCTAGTTTATAAGCAGTTAGGTAGTTTAGTTCAGGTGTGCAACATAGGTGTCTGGCCCCTCCAAAGAGTCAGAATTTAATTCTAAGTGGTCATGAGATGATGTAAGAAAACAAGAAAACAAAAAGTTCTGCTGCACAAATCTCTATTCATTTTTTAAAATTATTTTTTGCTTTTTGTGAATTATCAAATGGTATAATTTTACATGTTTATAGTATATGAAACACTTACTTAAATGAAATCGTGAGAGAAATCTGGAGGAGCTGGTGGACCTGCTGACAGCTCATAACACCTAAACAAAGGCCCTAACCAGACTGCTTTTTGTCACAGGTCAAAAAGTTTGGGAACTACTGGTTCAGTGGTTAACAGTGCAATGTATTTAGCATGCTTATCAGATTAATGCAAATGTTTAACCTGGAAAGGAGCTAAAGGGGTTTGTGCCATAATAGGCTACATGATAAAATGCACATCACTGATAGGATACACAATATTATACAAAAAGTGGGTTATTTTTAAAATTCTCAATTTAAGGATGCAGTATTTTCCTTCTTTCTTTTTAGCTACGCGTTTACGCCACCACCTCCTGACGTTCTCAGATAAAGTGTGCATAGTTTCGTGTTGGTTGTTCACTGTGAAGCCCGAGTGGGAGGAGGAGGAAGAGGAAGGAGAGGAGGATTTCATGACTGGAGCGATTCGCTCTTCTCAGAGCGCAAGAACGCACCGAGTCAGCTGGGGACTCATGTAAACCTGCGGGGGATTATCGCAAGAGTTTGAACCTTTTCACTTAATTTTCTTCAGTTTTCTTTTACTTTTTTAACGAATCAACAACTTTAACGGATATGTTGGTGGAAGTTTCAAATGGCGTTTTTCTCCTCTTATCATGCATGTTGCTGCGCCCCGTAAGTATATTTATATTTAACCCTAACAATCGGACTTTTCTCCTGACTGAACCTGGGTTCATTCTCAAGGGCACGACAGTTGCTCGCCTGATTTGTTCAGCCATACAGTTTAAGGTGGACCACTTTCTAGTACTGTAGTTGATGTGCCCGCTGGTGTTCATGGATGCAGGGCGCAGCAGTGTCGTAGCTTGTGTCAGTTACTGGTAAAAGTGTGGATGGGCAGGGAAGCTGTGGAGAGAAGGGTCAGTAATGGTGTGTGTGGAACGCACACTTGGTTATAGTGTGGTAAGGCTTTCATCCTCATGTCTTTTGTTACTGAAGACATTTTAGAACAAATATTGTTAGCAGAGCTTATGTTCCATTTTCTTTTCTTTCATTTTTTTTTCTTAAGTCATGACAACAATTGTCCCTTCACATGTGCAGTCTCCTCTCTCCAGGTTCAGCCTCTGCATTGTATGTCAGTCTCCTTAATTCCTCATGCACTATAAGCAAAAACAACAGCTGTTTAAATGGCACTTGGCACTATACAAAACAGGGGGTCCAGATGCTTCGTCAGTGATCTTCCTGTGTTATTATGTTCTTGCTGATCTCTTTTCATCACTGAGGTGAAGGTGAGCCCGGAGAAGGCACAAGGAGCTTGCTGGTCTCCCAAAAGGATACCATGGCAACGGCCTCCTTTGTCTGTACCTGTACTCTCTGGCCTCCAGTGTCCTCATCCTCATCTGTCTCCTGTAGAAAAGAATGTATGATTTGTACTGGAAATGAGCTGGAGGTCAAATTCCTTACTCATTTGTTGCCTTTTACATCTGCATTCATACACACAAAATGTTTCAGTGATAAAAGTGAAGCAAAGGAGAAGATGGCAGCTGGTGTGCTGGCGGGGAAGGTAAAAGGGTCACTTTGATGATGGAGTGTGGGAAGTTTTCTCCTGGTACTCTTATTTGCACAGCTGAAGGAAGCACTGATCCATCAGTGACAACATATTCCTGTCACTTTCCAGAGGTGCAGTAACACAGGAGCTGCCATGAAGCCCAGGGAGCAAGACAGATGATAACATGGGGATGTCATCCTGTTGATTCAGGGTTGAGGCTAGAGTATGGGCTCCATTTGTGGCTAACCATCGTATAGCCATATACTATCATGCAGTGTGATTAATGTCCACATGAAGAGACTCATCCAGCTAAGTAACGGCTGTAAATCTTCTGACCCTGCAGACGGCCTTTATATCTGGTGGTAAACTCTCGTTGATTCAGCTTCATGTGGAACCAGTTCAGGCCTGAAGAGTCCGTTTATTTCCAAAACATGAAAATCTAAGGAGTATGACTCAGCGTCAAAGGCTTAATTTTTTGTTTTGTATGTGTCAAATGGAGAGATTAATGGTACCCAGGAAAACCCAAATAGAGACGATAGATGTTTGCCTTAATATGTAAAGAACAGTTGAGACAGCGTGTGCAGTAGAACTGTGCTGCGTTTGATGAATAAATGATAAAATGACCTGAGTCACACTATTTAAAATGTCATCATGGCCTGTGAAATACATATAAAAAGTGTAAACTGTTTCCTCCACAGGTGTTTTCAGTGCAGAATCAGATGTGTGACCTAATGAAGGAAATAAACAAGGAGAGAGACATCTGCGAGGCTCAGAGTGAGAACAAAACAACTGGTATGTTTGATATGCCTTTATTGTCCTGACTGCAATTTTTGCTAAATGGGGTTTAATCAAAGAAATGCAGCAAGCTCTAAAGAAAACACAAGCTGTTGAAAAGCATGTCTCTGGTTTTATATTACACTTTGCATGGTTGTACACAGTTTTGCACCTAAAGCCAGCCCCTTGTCACATGTGCTCCGACAGAATTTTGTGGTTAGTTGACCAAATGTGTTGCTTCATATGAAGAAAATACAGCTGATGAGCTGATGTGTTGTTTCAATGTATCGTTGATGAGACTTGAATTACATCTTGCTATATTCACAGCACATAATTATATTCTCGTGATGTCTGTCTGCTTGTCAACAGACAGACTATGATGTCATGTCAAACGTTATCTTCTTTTATCGCTTGTAACTGTCACATTACCACAGGTTTAATGCACCACTATGGACCTGCGACTTCCTTAACCTCTGTCGCAACCTTTTTTGTGTCTGTCGTAAACTGACAGCTACGCTGTGTGTGTCCACTTAGACTCATACAAACATTACAATTCTAAAGAGGAATAACTGTGCTTCATTGAGCCTCTGTGTGTAACTGAAATCTTGCTGATCCAAACTGCAAGTATCATGAGACTCTGTTTACTTTTACACAATGTAGAAATCATTAAACACTCATTATCTTTTGAATTTGCTTGATGTTGCAAATATCACCATACAAACTTTTTCCTTTTCTGGATTTAAAACGTCCTGTCACCTAATTATGCATCCTGAGACCAAGCACACTGTGGAAAGTTACAGTGAATTCAAATAACAGTGTGTAACAAAGGACAGGAGCTGTTTTATTAGTCATGGTGGGAGCGATAACTCAGGTCATCTGCTGTTGCGAGCTGTAATGACAGCTGACCTGAGCTTACAGGTTTTGGCTGTCATGGGAATGTCGGTGCATCACCTTCACCTTAACCAGGCTGCTGTTTGTCACAGGGAAGAATTAACATCACAATAGTTTGAAACACCTGTTGTTCAAAGATTTGTGTTTTATACTATGTTTGTTCATTTTGATTTTATGGTATTTCCATGTTTGACTAACAGGAACAAGCTTTTTTTAACCCCTTTGTCTCCGTGTCTTGGTCAGGTTGCAATAGGACGTGGGACAAGATCACCTGCTGGCCCAGCGCTAACATTGGAGAGGTGATTACCATCCCATGTCCCAAAGTATGTGTGTGTTTGATTTTAGTGTCTGCAAACTTCTGTCTTTGTGTGTGTGTGTGTGTGTGTGTGGCCTGGTAGTACTCATGTTGTGGAGATGTAAATCTAAGATGACATCCTTATGGGGACAAAATGTAGATCATTCCATTTTAGAGTGATGACTTAATTTAAGGTTAGCTTGAGGCTGCAGTTAGGCAAGTAGTGATGATGGTTAAGGTTAGGGTAAGTCTCCAGGAAATGAATGTAAGTCAGCATAATGTCTCAGAATACAGGGCAGCAATACAAGGCAAGGCAGGTATGTGACTACAGCATATGTGTTTGTTTGTGTGATGATCAGCAAGCACATCGTAAGTTTGTGTGGCCTTTTGGCGGAAACGTTAAGGTAGATACTGTGGTCATGTAAAAGTCAAGACCTGTTGGCCTAGAGACGTGGAGTTTAGTCCACACTGACCCCTTAATGAGGTATATGGAAATTGCTGCACCTATGCAAGAAATAAAAACAGTACAAGACGGTGACACTAGTTACTAGTGACACTAGCCGAGAAAATATATAAATGGGCTAATAACTCAGCAAGATTGATTAAGGCTGTTCTAATTCATATATTTATATTAACATGTAATAAGTGAGCATGTGTCATATAAGAGGTGTCAGTTGTAGTGACAAGCTCATAGGGAATTATCACACAACTCTTTCTCACTCACTGTCATTATTTTCATCAGCAGTGGTTCCACACAGCTGTTTTCTGAAAACAAGACAGAAAGAGCTCTTAAAATCTATGATACACCACCTGCCTAGCACCAAACAGTTCACAATCAGAATTAGCTATCTGTCTCTTTAGCCGCTAAACAGACAGTTGGCAGAGTTAGAAGGAGAGAAATGCGTTCGCCAGCTGGCCAGGAGCTCTAGATGAATAATATAAATTTAAAGCTGCACTGTGTCTGTTAGATATCTAAATAAGCAATGATGTTCTAGCATGGTTGCTATATCAACTTCATAATCTACTTATTCCAGTTTATATATCATGAACTGAGTGTCCAGTCCTTGGAGGTCAACTAATGTCAGCTAAACACTGTGCGGGGAACTCTGTTTGCAGATTCATGGTTATCAATTACTGAGTGAATGTCTCTACCTAAAAACCTCAAGTTGTGTTTGAAGCGTTGATATGTTTCAAGTATGCCACCTTAGCTTGAGAGGTTAAACTATGTTCCTATGTCCAGGGGTTAGCAAACTGTGGCCTTCAAAGAGGTGATAATATGGCACTGTGGCTGTCTTCATTTATACCTGATAATGCTACTCTTGATCAGTTGTCAAACATAGAGTTCACAGCCTTGAATGAAACTAAATTGCATTAAAAAATCTTCTTTGAAACTGGCAAGCTGACTACCTCAACCTAACTGTGACAGATCAGTCTTAAGCAGCTTATAAATATTCCACTAAGGATCATTACTTATCGCATCATGCCAATCCTGTAGAGCCATATCCTTGAGTCTTAAGATTACTGGGAAGTTTCATGATCATAGATCCAGGATTTATGTTTACATAATTTAAGTGAACTAGAGATGCTGCTTATCTTGATCCTTCCTTAACCTCGTTTTTGTTGTTGTTCCTGCTGCTGCTGAATCTTTGTCTGTATCATCACACCCTTGTGTTCGAGTCCAGAAATAGGAGTTAGGAGCTGAGCTTCCTAGTGGCTCATATTCATGAGATCATTCTTGCCCGTGATAACCTGTTGCTTCTGTGTGTCCTGATGGCCTGTCTCATATGTCACAAAAAAAAAAAAC